CACCCACACCCATACCCACCCCACACCCACACCCACACCCAAACAACACCTTTGCCTTTATCTGGGCGAGTAACAACGATCGATTTATCTTCTTTTAAGTTCTTTAATACATGACGATATTTTTGCTGTTCAGTATTAATTCTATTCTGTAATTGTGCAAAACGATAAGCTTGATGACGAAATGAGTCAGTAATAGAACGAAAACTGCTCGCCAAAGTCATTTCTTTTGAATCAAGAACACGAACATCAGAACCATCAACTGTATCTTTATTAGTAACTTCAGACATCAGCATTTTATGATGTTGAGAAATATCAGTTATTCGATGAAAGAAATTTTCAATATTACTAACAATATTCATATCATCAGTTTTTTTAGGAACAAGACCATAATCTAATCCATGGGCGAGGCAATCGGTTTCATCATGTGACAAAATACGAGACGATAAATTTTTAACAACATTTCGATCAATACGAGGTACTCTTCTTTGATGTGATTGAAATGAATTAATCTTTCTTTGTAGGTTATCTTCTTTCATATATAATAATGCACGTGAACGATTAATAATATATTTGGAAATGTGTTGAAATATGTTATCAGGTATATTTTTTTCAACTCATTCAGATGATACATGTAATTCTTTTTCAAAACACGTAGATCACGATATTTAAAACCAATTTCAGCTCCTAAAAGACGTCTTTGACATTCTCTGTACGCAGAAGACATTGCGAGCCTTTCATTTGCAGTTTTAAACCACAAAAATCTAGGAATAATGTCTCTAGATCGACAGTACTTAAGAAACCTCAAATCGAGTATTAACGACTGATACCGTTCATGTGCTTTTTTTGTAGAATCGTATATCCGTACTATATGCCGACCATAATGATAATTTAGGTAACCACCAATACTCATATTATCGACTAACGCCATAATAACGACTGACAATGAAAAAAAAAATCCTTTTGTAGATTACCTTAATACACACTTGAGATTTCGACAGTGCTTAGCTAGCAATACGACCAGTGAAACCGATGAGGAACAACTTACGGTATTTATAACAAAAAAACTGAAACCTGATAAGTAAGAACAAGAACGAACGGAATTTTCTTCTCTGTCACACTTTAACCCATATGAAATACCAACAGAATAGAAAAAGATAAATATATGCGCATTCAACAACAGACAGAACAAAAACCCATAGAAGCACCAGTATGTTAGCGGAACCTAAGTTACACAACTCTTAACTCAGTACCTCTCATCTTCCAACTGACAATAACATCTAAAATTTCAACCCAAAATACATTGTTTTCGCAACCAAAAGTTAATCTTCCTTCCGAAACTAATATCAGCCACATCAAAAAACCATCAATAATACGATTCTCATTCACTTTTTTTCCAACAAATCACTTTCCACTATTTCTTTTAGAAAAAAACCCCTCCCAACACAATTCAAAAATGCACAGAAGCTATAAACACACCTTCAACTGCAACTACACAAGCAGTACCACAAAGCAAAACGCAATGCCATCTACCAATCTACACCATCTTTCCTCTGATTCCCGACAATTATCGTCTTCTTTTACGCATCCCACTTTCGAGCTATACACCATACATAAAAAGCGACCATTCGGACGTACTTCTTTCAAATAATTTCTTTCTATTCGACATTTTTACTATCTCATCAATAAACAAACCATTATTCTACTCCAATGTGAATACATTATCTTACACACACTTTATTAGATCATGTTAGATTTGATATAATTGTGTGTTAGGTTTATGTTGGTGCTGTTCTTTGTCTGATGATGGTGTCTGCGAATAGATACCGAAATATCACATAATATAAAATAAAAAATGATTTTTGCTGTTCTTTTCTACTATTTTATTAAACTATACTATTATATTTATGGATATTATGATGATGAATACCAAATG